AGAATTTATATCTACGTTTTACGATAGACATTACATCGATTTTAATAATTTAAAAAAAAAAAATATAATAAAATAAAATACAGAAAAATCTTATATTTTCATAAACTAAATTGAAATGTCAGTGAAAACTGGTACGCGGGCCGCCAGTTGCCCGTCCCTGGCCCATTCCTAGGGCTTAGTCCCGCACAAAGTACTCACCTTTTGGCAGCATTTTGAAAAAACGTCTCTGGCCGGATATGGTTTTCCTTCGTCAAATCGGAGACGTCACCGAATGTAAATTATAGATTATAAATTAAACAATCGACGAGTCTGTGCATCAGAACAATAATGTTTACAAAAGCGTATAGTATTCATTTGATTAATAAAAGGGTGAGTACCGAAAAAGTCGAGGCCTAAATACACTCCCCCTCCCCCCATACGTTGTTGTTATCGTGATTCGGTCGCTACACCCCCAACCCACCCCCCAACGCCGATGCGATGTTATCATTAAAGTATGACGTCCCCAAAGTATCATAACAGATAAGTGTATAATAGTTATTATTATCAGTTTGCCGCCAACTGCAGTGTAATATAATAATAATAATAATAATATTGTGATACGCCGCACGAGACGCCCGCCCAGCAGTTTTGCGGTGGCTTGATATAATATACGAGTTGTGCGGGCGCCAATAAATTTTATTCGCACACACACGCGAATCACCAAAGTTCAAGGATACCCGGAAATCGGCATCCGGGAGAGGGCGTGGGGGGATACGATCGTCAAAAACAAAATTACACAGTGATCGCTCGAGATTCGAATATTATAATGTGGCTCGTGACGACGGCTAAGGGGGCGGGGGAGGGAGGAAGAGCCCGCGGGCCGTCACGAAACAGAGTTTATAAATTCGTTTCGATATCCGTCGTGGCCGTTCGAATTCGTCGGGTGCATGCCCACTGTAGATTTCGATTTAAAACAAAAAAAAAATTAATATTCATACGCGCCAGCAATAGCATTTGCTGATCCACTATAATATCAGACACATATACCTGACGGCTACCGGTATTGCGCGGGTAACCGAGACCAAGGTCGCGGTCGCGCGCCCGACGATCACGAAGCGCCCGAGAGGTATTACTATTATAATAGGTCTGCTCGTGCGCAGTCGACCCCATTCGAGGATTTCGTTCGGTTCGAGAAGAAATCGAAATCGGAATCGAAACTGGGTCGTCCGTGCCGTCTGGGTCAGTGTGCATAATATTATTACTGTCGTCGTAGTCGTTATAGATACCTACAAGTCATATTTTACTATTGCAAATCAAGGCATAACATATAACATGATAATACGATTACACTAAAAACATAGAAAAAAATAAATTAAAAAAAATCGGGTAAGTGGATGTCGCTCTACTGTACAGTAGGTTACAAGTGGGACAATGTATACGCTAATTGCGTTAAACTTGAATTCAATGATATAATAGCATTGTATAAGAAAAACGATTCCGAACGGAGACGGTTTGTCAGTCTGGATATTTTTTATTGTTATTATTATGTAATTATTATAGCCTGTAAGTTGACGAATGGATTAAATTTGGAAAAAATTCCGGATCCGTGACGTCATTAGTCAGTGTTATCAATATTGTTCTTATCAAAATTAGTAGCAAAACTGTAGCTAATATACACGTACTTTCGATTGTTTTAAAATTTAATTTATTGTGTACTATGTTTACTTCATGTATAGTTTCAAGATGATTACTATACATCTTAAATGTTTTAAATATTGTGCTGCAGTTTTCAAAAGAACATACTTGTTCATAAATAAATTTGTGTCAGCTGCATCTCATTTTTTAAGTGACTTATCAAATTTATGAAATAATGTATTGCAGTTATTACATGTATAAATATTTTTTTCATGTTTCACATGTTTGGTTCTCATGTGTTTATTACACCCTGATTTTGAATTGTATTGGAGTTCACAAACTTTACAAATGAACATATTAAAAATTGAATATATTGTTATTTAAAAAAAAATAAATATGTTTGTATCACTTCACCGAAAACAATAAAAATAACTGAATTGCTCAAATGTCAATAGTTCACTTAAATAAGCAAACCATACTTAATAGGACGCCACACCCGCATGTGTTGTCTCCGTCTTACAAACGCGTAACATAGCAAATTACGTCCACGGAAAACAAACGAATCGGCATCAAAAAGTGGTTTTAGAGTAAAAATACCTATAATAAAACTTAAAGAGAACAATATTTTGGAGGGAACCTCATCGGCGTTTTTAAAAATATTAACTATTAAACAAGTTGTGGTTATTTAAAAAAATTAAAAAAAAGAGTTTTTGTGCCTTCAATATCTAGCTGTGTATTTAGATTAATACAAAACCCCGATGAGGTTCCCTCCGAAATATTGTTCTCTTTAAGTTTTATTATAGGTATTTTTACTCTAAAACCACTTTTTGATGCCGATTCGTTTGTTTTCCGTGGACGTAATTTGCTATGTTACGCGTTTGTAAGACGGAGACAACACATGCGGGTGTGGCGTCCTCTTAAGTGAGATTGATGAAAGAATTTATTTCTTGTCAATTTATTAGGAAAATATAAAATACCAGTTTTGCAACAATTCTTTATTTATATTTTTCTTATATTATGTATTACTATAATAGTACCAATCCAACCAGTGGTGGTCAATGTTTTGTAATATGGCCCGATATGAAGGTTTCAGCGTTCAGTATGCTGTATTTAGTAATTAGTATTTAGTAGTCTAGAATAAAAATACAAATAACAAGTATTTCGTAAGTATTTGAAATTCAAATACTTAACAAATGCCAAAAATGAATCGATGCTCATTTAATCACCATAACATTTGATAAGAAAAATATTGATAACACTAACTAATGACGTCATGGATCCGGAGTTTTTTCCTGATCCATTCGTGTAAGTTGAATTAATATTATAATATTATCATTTTTATTTGTTTTTGTGGTGATAAACAAAGCGTAAGAAATTAAAATGCAATTATTTCAGCGTTTTTTCGTGATTTGTCGGTGGTTTTTCCCGTGGCATTAAAAAACTATTGAGAAAATCAAAAAATGACCTCTCCAATTTTCTAAAAGATAAAATACTATATATTGGCATGATAAAACCAATTTTTCCTATCACTGCTAATTTTCCCTAGGCATGGCGGAAATAGTAAAATTTCTACATAATTGTAGTGGAAATAACATTTTTTTCCATGATATTAGTTTCTCTTCCAAGTGTGGGGAAGTATAAAATACGCTTGCAGTATTCTAGCAATCATGCCTGTTTATTTAGTGATTTTGTAGTCTAATGAAATCACATGTGTCACTCCCTATGCCACCATCATTTAGCATAAAGGTGGAGGTTATTTCAATTATTTCTTTAAGTACCTAATTTTTGATTATAATATTTTTTTGATCAAATAATAAAAAAATCTATCAAAAAAAAATAGGTTATTAGTTATAGTGTTCAGGTGATTTGGCAGAATGATGATAATATTTGTTATCAGCTTAGCAGCTATGTAATAGTGACAACACCATATTAAAGAACAGTATTGTTATTATAATTACATATTTTTCGATTAAACTGTACAAATATTTTATTAAACTAAATAATAATATTTATCTAATACATGAAAAAAAAAAACATTAGTTACAATAGATAGTATAAAAATAAACATAATAATAATACAATATATAATATTATAAAACATAATTACACTTAACAATAATTTATGATTTAAAAACAGAATTTCACTAAACTCTATAATAATAATAGTCTAATGCTACTCAAAATTGTTTTTTTGACCTCTTTGTATTTGGCACCATCCTCTATTTTCGGAAATAATTTTCCATCGGGAAAAAGCAATTAATCACGACCGGCATCCAGATTTGTTATTTAACACCGAGGAGGAAAAAACGGCGAGGGCCCGGGGGCGAAGCGAACGAACCGGAGGGAGAAAAGATACACCGCAAAGTTTTGGCTGACTTTCAAAGTTTGATTCCGGTCGGGTGATAAATGGACGGGCGAGCGTATAGACACAATCATGCGCGTAAGGCGGTGGCTATTGGTACGGTGGAAAATCGTTTATGACGTGCCCGTAATAACAATGGTAATAATAATTGTAGATGTTTTGTTTTATTTATTATTTAAGCAATAATAACAATGATATTATATAAGTAGCGATATGATAATAGTAGGTCGGCCTAAACGCGGGTCGGCCTAACCCATACCAAACGCGCAAAAAAATAACCCTGGAGATATTATTATAATTGTAGACGTGAAACGAGCACGAACGATGATATAATATTTGAAAGGGTCCGCGTGGAAAACAAAAGATTACATAATATTATTGTTATTATTTAATTCGCCAAAACATATCAGAACATTTTGATTTCAATTGTCATCTCTGATCCGAACTCGGTGTTTTTCGACAGACTATATAATAAAATGAGAAGTCGTCACGTGTTTCGGGTCGTACAAATGGATTCGTCACGTTTTTCACGGACGAGCTGATTTAAATTTTTCTATTTTCCCATCGCTACAGCGGCGTCTGTATGGTATCGTCTCGACGATACGTAAAAGAGGTGAAAAGATTAAATAATAATAAAAACAATCGTAACAATAATAGACGGCAGACGAGACCGAACACATCGTACACGACATGGCAGTGGCGTCTCCCTACCGTTACAGTAATAATAGATTATAAGAGCAAATAAAAGTATAGTAATAATAATAATAATAATATTATGTACAACGCGATACGCATGATAATAATAATAATAATAATAAAAATTATAATTGATGCTCCCACCGGACGATTTCACGACGTTTGAGCGATTGTTGGAAACGAAAAAAAAAAATAATAATAATAATAATGTAGTTATGTACAAGTCACGACGATTGGTCATCGTCCGGATGTCCGGTCACTGGCGTCCGGGTAATAATAATGTACAATGGCACTCGGGCGACGGCGGCGAGCACCGCGGTGTGGCGGTCTAGCCCAGGAACGGGTAACCGCCGTACGGTATGAAGTTGGGGAACTGGGCGACGGTCGGCTGGACGGCCACGGACTGGGTCACGTACGACGTGACCTGGGTGGGAACCACCGAGCTGGAGTAGATGGTGGTGTACGCGGTCTTGGCGCCGAATGTGAGCTTCAGCACCTTGCTGTCAGTCTGCGTGACCATCGACTGGGTGACGACGGGCGTGGACGTGATGGCGAACGATGGCTGGGCCGGGAACAGCGTCGGCTGCTGCTGCTGGAGTTGCTGCGGGAACATCGGGGTCTGCTGGAACTGGAACAGGGGAGTGGGCTGGAGCTGCTGCTGCGGCTGCTGGAACGGCAGTGACTGCGGTTGTGGTATGGCCAGCGTGGTGGTAACCAGCTCGTAATCGGTCCTGGTCACCGTACCAACGGGCCGCGACAGGGTGGTGTAGTACGTGGCGCCACCGTTGACAACGGGAAGGGCGTGCGTCTCGTACACGGTCTCGTACCTCAGAACCGGCCGAGAGGTGGTGATGACCGGCGCCGGTATCGGAGCGTTCGGGTTCAGAAGCCGGTAAAGGGCCAGCTGCTGTAGCTGTTCGGGGCTCATGGTGGGCGCCTGCAGCTGCTGCTGGTACTGGTGCGACGGGTGTTCCGACGATGAGTTGCCCGACGCCGAAGCCATCCGGTGTGCCTTCTTAGACCGCCCTCCGTTCGCCTTGTCCATCTGCGACACGTCGAATGACGATCCTACGTTGGACAGGTCCAAGCTGTCCAGGAACGCCTTGGCCGCGCTCGGGTGCGAAGACTCGTCGTCGTGGTTGCCACTGTCGCCATACTCGAGTTCCAGGTGCAGCTCGGATCCGGCCTCGTCCAGCCTCGTGTTGAACTCGTTGAGCGTCTTGCTGGGCACGAACTGGTACACCTCCATCGGCGGCAGGGTCTTGACCGCGGTAACCAGTCTGGTCACCTTGTACGACTGGACCAGCGTCACGCTGCTGGTGTCCGTCCCGCGGACCACCGGCAGGATGTGCGTCTTGAGCATCAGCTCGGTAGTACTGAAGCTCTCAGTCATCGTCTCCAGAGGTGGGGTGGCCTGGTCTGGGGAAAGCGAGATCGGTGGCAGTGTGGCCAGGCTGGAGTCCAGTGGCTGCTCGCGGCCGTATAGGTTGGGTGCTTGGCTGGCAAGTATGTTCTCGGACAGTGGTTCCTGCACTCTGGCCGGTGACGGGCTATCGGTCTGCTCCACCAGGCTCTTTTGGATCGTCGACGTCACCGTTATGAACCTGGTATTCTTCACTGAACCCACCTGAAAAACAAGAGAATATCGTGAGCATTCAAATAAATTGGTTGACAAGTTTATTAGTGGGTTTAGTTTTTTATAATAAATTGTACATTTTTTAAATTTTTAACAGCTTTAATTTTTTTTCATCAAACTGAATTGTATTTCAGATACCATTATTAATTTTTGTTTTTTTTTTAATGTTTTAACATTTATATTTTATATTATATGTCTTTGAGTTGGGTGCAGATATTTTAATTTTAAAACTGTTATGTTTTCATGGTTACTTATTATCAAATACATAAATAATATGATTCAAAGATATTCCTTGCAGAGGAAAAATATAGAGTAGCATGCTATGTGTTACTTTTAATTTGAATGATGCCATATTAATTTGAAAATATAATAGCAAGTTTGAATACGATATAGTTTTCACAAATTTAAATTACGTTGTATCGATTCTGTTGTAATTTTTGAATAAATGGATACATTTTAGATTTTGGGATTTTTATAAAAAAATGTATTGAGTAACATTATTATCTCAGACATCGAGAGTGAAGCTCACCACTGGATATTTATTTTTAATATAGAATTACTTTTATTTCTTTAACCATATTTCAAAATATTTCTCGTTGTCCATACTATGCTTGTTTGTAAATATAAGTTTACTTAGGTAGGTATCATGTTAATCAAACGTAAAAAAAAAATTCATAATATTCTAAGAAATGGAATTATTGAAATATTTTACTTGGAATGAGTACGGTGATTTGATCGTGGCAATTTCGTAATATATGTCCTTGAATTCAGCTGGAGTAGAAATTTCCACTCGGATTGTTTCAGCATTTGCAGACGGGCTTACGTCTTGAACAAGAACGTCGTTGTCATCGTCGTGTTGTAAGGCTGGCAATAAACCTGAACCGGCCAACGCTTGGTCTCCGTTGTCAACTTGTACGTCGGGGAAATGTGGTGTCAATGGTGTGGTAGCATTTTCCTGTGCATGTCGATTTTCATCGATACGGCGAATGGTTACACGAGGTTTGGGAGATGTTTTGTACTCCCAACGTCCAGTTGGTCGGATGAGTTTGGATTTGAACGTCAACGGAGCAGTCGGGATGGGTTGTGGGCTGGACTGGGGGGACTGTTCTTGTTGTTGAAAGTGTTTTTTGAAAGCCCGACGGTTAGCTGGTGTCACTACCGCCGCACTGGTGTTACTGTCATAACGCTTGGCACTAGGCTGGAAACGTCTTTGAGTAGCAGATCCTTCAGTAGACTCCACTTCTGGCTCAGCGGTGGTCGGTCTGTTAAATCGGTTTTGTTTAAAACTGGGAACTCTCTGTGTTGTAGTAGTAATTTTTGAGGTGAATTTAGACCCTTTCCTGTAACTTGGAGTAGTCGGCTCATTTTGAGCAGAGGTGAATTCATTTTGTTCTTCATCGGTAGTCGAATAATCTTCAAATTCTTTTGATTTGCTTTTTGGCGTAGGTGTGTACTTATTTTTATTGAAACCTCCACCAATAGCTGGCCTCCTGGATTGTCGAACCAATACCGAACCAGGTTGTGAGCCTACTAACGACTCTAGGGATTCGTCTTCCAATCCAGATGTGGCTGGTGTAGGTTCAACGTTTGGTGATCTGGTAGAGGGCTTAGGTGCAGCTGTTTTCAGGATTCTGACACCAGACGCAGATGGGGATATCTTTACTGCTACTTTTTTCGGTGCCTTATTTGTCGTAGGCTCTTCTTCCGCGTTAAAGTTTGCTACAGAGTTGAAAGCTCGGAGTTTTCCTTCGGGACCTCGACTTTTCTGAACGAGGACGTGTCTCGATAAGCTAGGTTTCAAATCAATCACTTTGAACGTCTCATCCACAACTTCTGAAGGTTGTCGGGAAAGGAAATCATATTCTGGTGTTGGTTGTAAATGGTTTACTGCCACCTCTTCGACCGGTTCACCAGAAATAACTTCTACTTTACTGTAAATCGCCTTTTCCACCACCTTCGATGGTTCTGGTGCACTTCCCTCAATGACCTCGACTTTGGTTACGATATTTTCCACGACTTTAGAACCCGCCAAAACCACAACCTTTGAGCTTATTACAGGTTCTTTATTTGCGTTTCCAACTGGTTTTGGTTTTGGAGGTGATGGAGTAGTTGGCTTAGCATTGGTTTTCTTTGTTGTCACTGGAGCTCCTGTTGATTTTTTCTCTTGTTCAGATTTTTTTATTATGGTTTTCGTAGTGGGTGGTTCTTTTGTAGTAGTGGTCGTCGGTTCGGCAATAGTTGTTTCTTTTGTGGTGGTTATAGGTTCATTTGAAGTCATAACTATTTCTTCATTTTTTGAATCCATCGGTAAGTTCACTGGTTTACTGGGAGTAATTCCAATGGACTCTGTTTCCAGCTGTTCTTTTGTAATGGGTTTTTCTTCAATAGTGGTGGTTGTACCTTCTGTAGTCGAAGGTTCTTCAACTGTAGTAGTACCTAATAAATATAATTTATTTTATTTATATACAATAAACTTTATTTAAATTTTTTTTTTATATATAAATATCGGTATCTTAATATTTACCTGGTGAAGTAGACGCACTTTGTGGCATGAAAACCATAACAGTGTTACCAATCGTTGTAGTAAAGTCCAAAAATCCATATACTGTTTGCGTGATTTGAGAATCGGGCGAAACTACCTGCGAAGCGACAGGTTCTGGTTTTTCGTAAACTAAATCCGGATTGACATATACGGGTCCTGGTGATGAATCACCATTGACTAATCCAAAGGCTGAAACTAAAAATATAGAACATTTTAAACATCCATTTTAATAATATTATTGTAAACACATTTAATGATAAGTGTTTTGTAAAAATACATAATTTTTTTTACAACAAGTACGACAATCATTATTATTTTTCCTATTGTGAAAAGCATTAGTTTAAAATAGTGAAATATTTTCAAACTCGTAAATTGGTACAACTCAAGTATGGTCAAAACTCATTACGTTTATATGTACATACGTGCATTATAGCTGATTTAATCGTATGTTATTTCAGAGAAATACCACATATTATAATTTCAAACGGGGCCGTCCATTACAAAAAGGGGGTAGGTTTGTATAGCGGACGACGACGTGAGAAATTGATAGTGGCCGAGTCCGGAGGAGAGGTCGTAAAATTATTACTGATGACAATAAACAAAATACCGTTTATTTGAGGATTCCAATAACATAGGACACTATGCACTATTGCGTTCGAACAATAGATGGTCATTAACTCGATATACGCGTTATGCATATACAATATACATATATATTATATACGTGTGTGTGTGTCATCTATGTTATACGCATGTGTCGGAGTATGGTACGCTACTATGGGAATTTATTATTGTTACACGTTGACAGGGGTGATAATAATATAATGTAATCGTGAAATTTACGGTTTTGCTGGCCGAGCGGAAGAATCCTCGACACGCTCGCCGACACTCTCCTACAACACTTAATATAGGTGTATGGTTGCCCGTGTGTGTTGGTTTGTATATTTTATTATGCTTTATATTTCACTACCGTTAAGATCAAAAATTAAAAGGATTCCTAGTGAACGAGGTTTTGTCTTTGTTCGACCCCGAGAAAACGGTAAACGATTTGTCGATTTAACCTCTAAAGAAAACCGAATAAGGCTGTAGAAAATAATTATTTTTCCCGACGCTCGCAGTGTATTGTCTATAAGAAAATCATCAAACCACTAAGATGTAGGTACTTGTAAAATAGGCGTTGATCGAGCTTATTATTTAATTTACGTAAATCAAAGTGAGAGTATAAGCATAATATTATAACTAGTATAGGTGTAATCATAAAATATAATTGTGAATTTTCTCATAACCAACAATTAAAATGGAAGATAAGTTAGGTGAAAACACGTGCTCGTCGTTTCTGAAATGATTAGGATATATTGAAATTGCATAATAAATCAATTTCGTATTGAGGTAGGTATTTAATAACCAGACAACGCCATTATTTTTGATAATTGTGATTTATTAACACGACTATATTAATGAAAATGGAAATTGAAGTCCGTGTACCGACACGATAAATAGCTTCTAAGTCATTAAAATATACAATTTATAATAAAACATAATAGATGATATCATCCTCGTTGGATACAGAATTTGATATTATGTAATCCGAGATATTTATTACCTACCTTTAAATAATGATTGCTTGAGAGGATATGTCTCAGCACCTAAGGACAATACCGAGCAGTGAAACTCACTAAAAAATGTATCTTTTCTTATGTTAAAAAGTAAAACGTACTCTGTAAAGAAATGGTTTTTTTGTGAACCAATTTGTAGTACGTATTTAATTTTTCCCAGAATTTCAAAATCGACAATACAGGGTGTAACAGGAATACCTGACATATGGAATAACTTTTGTTCTAATCAATAATGAAAATTGTTTATATATATATAATTTATAGTAATATGCGTTACAATATAGTTATAGTAATAGTAATAGTTATAGTAATATTTATTTAAAATTGAATTTAAATTTAATATGGATAAATTCAAAACAGACAATTTGTGAATCTGGTTATAAGAACCATATTTCGATGGTAAAAATATTTACCCAGGTCAAGTAGCTTACTTTTTTGTATTTATTAAAATACCAATATTTTTTTGATTAAACTAATGTGGAACTTAAAAACTTTTTCATAATATTATTTTTGAGAATTTTCCGGAGTGAGTATATTTCTTAAATTATTTACTAATCGTATAATTTCAACAATTTTAATAGCTTAAGTAGCGTCATTTTTTTGTTTTGTTTTTATTGTCAGGTCTTCCCTCTAACTCCATATGTATAGTAACTTTGAGAAAAATTAAAAATTTGTAAACGATACGCTTTGCTATTTTATCCGTCTGATGCGAGCAATATAAGTATTGACGTTTTCAGTTGTTTATCGGCCGTCGGAGTGTTTTAAAACGTATTGCGACGTGCGGGAGATTTCTAGTGGAAAAATTTCAAATCCCACCGACTCCTATAGCCCCGCTGTCCAGATGTAGCCCTTCGGATAATAATGTGTGTGTGTGTGTGTGTGTGTTTTTTTCCCCTCAAATTCGTTTCGAGCTCACTAGACCGTACGGGCGCCCGAACAGACCCGACGTGTGCACTTGGAGATCACGATCTATACCGCGGTTCATGGTCCCGTGAGATAACGTGTTCCGAACTGTGTCAATGCCCAATATTGTGCTTTTCTCATGCCCGGGCCCGGGCCAGGATTCGATTAACGTCCGATTCGTCTCGGCGATAATACGAATGGGTACAATAACAACCCGACATTTGTGTTTTTGGCCAGCGTGAATCGTTTCATTTTTTTGCGATAATTATTTCTAATCGAAATCGTGAGCGTGCGAGAGACTTCAATCGCGGATCGGCCGCCACGTTTTACGGCACGACAACAATAATATTTTGTATTGTGTTTCTATTATGTTGATCTCAGTGTTTAGTCGATAACAGACGATTTTTCTAATTTTCAGCTTCGAGTCGTACGAGTGGACAAATTATTACTATGGGCGGTGTGAGTTACTCTTATTTAAACAGACCATTGCAATAAGCGATAGTACTTACCGTGAGGATTTGGACGTCCCCCCCCCTGCAGGACTGATAAATTTCCCACAAGAATCAATATATAGTTTCATCACATCTGCATCTATCGACTATCATCATTCACGTTATGGATTTATTAGTTATTAGTGTTATCAATTGAATGGGTAATGATTGATAAACCAAATTTACGTTTGAGTATTATTGAATGATATTTATATATTTACTATAGTCTACTACCTACTATGGTATAGACATTTTTGGATGCACTTATGATATCCATATGAACAATTTAAAAATAACACTTGACAAATTAATTAAATTGTTTACATCAATTACATTTTTTATATTATCAAATAGTACAAACACAAATCTTCTTTGTAATGAACTTAGTTTATTTTGTATTAATAGATTATTTAAAAAATGTTTGTTATTGTTACTGTATAAGCACAAAAATATTATTTTAGTAAGTAATCATAATTTTAATACTATATTTAAGAAAAATATTAGTTTAAAATTATCATTATCATAAATTGAAACATAGTATTCTTAAGTTAATCTAACTTCGTATTGTTTATTCATTTGTACTTGTTGTTTTACTTATTTGTGTTAGTTTATTTATTTATTTTTACTGTTGCAAAAATTCTCTCTATATATATATACAATTCCAAATTGTTTATTATCTTCCAAACACATATAATGTTTAGATATAGATGTCAGCCTTATGTTTTGCAAATAGTGTTATGTTTTGGCATAATTGAATTATATTTATATATTAATTAGGGTATTAATATTTTAATCATTTGTACATTTATTGATTTGCATTGTATATTATGGTTTAATAAACATAAATAATAATTTAATAATTAAACTTTAATTTTTTATCCGGGGGGTTTTATGTCCTAGAATTCTTATTATATAGCCCCCTACCCTGACATTTTGTTTAGCCCCTCGTTATGATTCATAACTCCACGACTGAACCAAATCGGATTCGATTAACATCTGACAAATGGGCAATAACCACACAATATCTAAAAAATCCACACGTGGTTTCATTTTTTTATTCACGATAATTATTTTTCAATCGTTATCAGTAGAAAGTTCAGTCGTGGATTGGACGCGTTTAACGGAATAACATTTTATGTCTCAGTCATATTCGATAACAGATTTTCTAAACAGACGCACTCTAATGTTGTACAATTGGACAATATTAATATTATTGTTATGAGCGATCGGGTAAGGTGCTAGTTACCGTTATTATTGTAAATAACGACAAACGAAAGAGATTACGAGTCCTCGTCAAAAGTTTTTCCATTCGATGTATGACGTACACGAGACATTAAATTATTATAATGTACGCCCGGTGGGGATATGGAAAATAAGACAAGTCAACTTTCGAATGTGTACATTCGACGACAATAGTATCATAGAAAACGTGAAAACCGCGCTGATTTAATGCTGCACTGTGCGACTGTCGGACAAATTATTGTTCGGATCCAAAAGTTTGTTTTAGCTTTTTTGAACGCTGAATGGCGTAATACCAGTAATGATGATATTGAAAGGGATATGTCACGCGAAAAGAAACACGTGGAAAACTCTTTGCCCGAGTACAACTACAGACCATTATCGACGCACTAGGTCGGTCCCCCGAACCGTTCATTTGTAAGATAAAATATATTTCGAACATATTATAATATTTTACCCTGTGGTGATTTTCGGTTTAAAATAATCATTTCCACGTATTCGCGAGATCGTTAAAAGTTCGGTCGGATGTAGTTCGGTTATATTGTTGTATTATACTATTATTATATAATACGATATTCTATCTGGTCAAAGGCTGCGGGTCGAATATTATAATATTGTATACTTATTTTTCGACGTGCTTGTCGAAATCGAAAAAAAAAAAGTTTAACGACACCGAATGTCGGGAACGACAAACGAGGGAGAAGTAGACTGCTGATGCTGCTGTAACCAACAGTACCGCAAAACTTGTCCGCGGGATACCACATACCGTGTCCCTGCCACTGCACGACGACACGACGTGAACAACGCCATTGTTATGCAGGAAAAAAATCCAACAGTTGATGACAACGTTTCGCAAAACTTTTCGCCGCCTTCATAAACTCGAAGAGACAACGCCGGAAAATGTGTTTCCCAACAGAATCAACGCACAGTGTTATCGTTTATATTT